ATTTATAAATTGTTCACTATTACTAAAATTAATTTGTTTGTCTATAGATGTCATTAAATAATTATTTTATTTTGAGACACTGTTTAGTTTATTTTACAAAAGATGGCGCTTAAATTAAATTTCTTAAATGTTTTATATCAGATATACTTACACTAGTTAAAGGTATTTTATAATCTTTTTTCCTGAGCTCTGCGTAGAAGCCTGCAGCGTCGGGTTCATCTTCGCCAGGTTTGTTGGCTTTGCTGGTCGGCGGCCGCTGCAGGCTCATGTAGCCATTCGATACAGGCCTTCGCTCTAAACAAATCATACTAATATTATGAATACGAAAATTTAGATGGGTATTAGACTTTGTAACCTAAACGGATCTCGATTAAATTTGACATAAATATAGAGGATAGTCTGGAAGGTCACATTGGACTCACTTTTGCTTTTCTTAGCTACACAGGGACGGAGTCGCGGGCAAAGCTAGCAACATGCATATTTTCCCCACCTTATTATCTATATTAATATAATAAAGCGTAAACACACACTACTTTATGTCGTAGGATGTCAACAATCACAGCATATTTTTGAATATTTTTTAATAAAAAGCCCTACACTTACGACACCCTTCAGGCTATATATTTTCAGGGTATTAAACTTAGGGGATACATAAATTAAAAACAGCAGCAAAGCAAGATTTCTGTGGTAATAGTAATTGTTATTCAATATCAAAGGGCTTAGTTGTCATTTGTGCATTTGAATTTTGACTTCTACATTTATTTCAGAAATGTAATCAAAAAATAAAGTTTTTTTTATAATTTTAAGTGAGGTGCGAAGTTATTCTAACCATATAGACTAGGAATGATGTCGGGGTCCGCATCGTCCGCGTCCCTGAGGTCCGGCGAGCGCAGCAGCGCGCCGCGCGCCTCGCCCGCGCCCGCGCCCCCGCCCGCCAGCGCTGGCGCCGCCTTCACTGGCGTCGCGCACTGGCCTTCGTACTGGCCGCCGCGCTCGCCGTACACTGCCTCGCTAAACACATAACTTCTTATACTCACCTACTTCACCAGTAATGATATGTTAAATGTCTTGATAGTTAATAAGGAAATATTTTTTTTAATGTTTCTAATTGTAAGATAACTTTAGAAGAAGTGACGTGAAAAGGAAAAGACCATCCATTGAAATAAAAATAAAATCACAGTCTTATTTTTACTACTAAAACGTGGTTGGAGTGTGCTAGAGTGTTACGACGTCATCAAACAACAACAAAGTAGTTGATTGGTTCTCCGAGTTATTAAGTCAAAAAGTGATTAAATTCACCTAAATTTCGACCAATAGCAATGCATTTTAGAACTTGGTGCGGGAATTTTGGAAAATACACTTTTCACTATTAAATTTCACTATTAAATCATATTACATTAAAAAAATAATAATAATATAAAACAATAAGAGGTATAATATTGTACAAAAACAGGCTTGTGTGAGTCATCATCTCCCCTGTCTTATCCTACTCC